TGTTTTTAATGTTTTAAACATGTTTGAAAAACATTTTTATGATGTGTGAAATGCAATGAAAAGAATTTTAGCCTAAAGAGCCAAGGTGTAAAGGTTGGGTCGGTCTTGATCACAATTATGACCGACTCAACAACACTAAGACTACGGTCTTCGCTCTTGGTCTTCTTTTGGGTCTTGTTCTCTTGCTTTCTTCTTATATTTATTTCTCGCCTTGTATATTCAATAACTTGTCTCGTTCACGGCGGTTTGGCATTATCAAAACCTGTCACAAAAACGAACACGGCTTTAGTACGAAAACACGATAAACCCGTGTTTCAACAGATAAACTAAACATCCGGGCAAAAGAAAAGGTCAATTACCAAAGGGACCACAGTCGAGACCTTCCTCAGGAATGTCCTTCAGCTGGTCAGGCTGATGCCCCCCGGGAATGTCCCTCAGTAGGTCGGGTTGGTGGCGAAGCTCATCCTGAACAAACTCAAACCCCAACCCGGCAAGGGTTTCCTCTGTCACCACCTCTTTGATGTTCATAACTCCCTTTTTGCAGAGTTGGCGAGTGTTAGACAAAAGGGTGGCATCAGATGGGGGGCATCGGATGCGGCGGAAGGAAGGGCGCCCTGAACTTGTGAAAGGAGATTCGGGCCCCGTCGAAACGAAGACAAAGAAAGGCTTCCAGTCTTTGGTTGACCCCTTCTTATCACTAGCAAAGAGTTTACTAGACCTCTGGGAAAGGCTGGCATACGACGCCCAATCTTTATGGCCCTTGGTCAGCTTGAAGGTAAATATGAAATGGTCCAAGGTCGGCTTCACCCCTACATCTTTGCACCGGACCAGATAACCGGCGATGTACCGGTGAGAGTTGGGGACCAGTTGGCACGGAAGAAGGTCCACCACGTTGAGGAATTCGATCAACAACGGGTGGAGTGGGAAGCACAGCCCCTTCTTCAAAGACGCCAGATGGACCGTGAAGAACCCCGACGGTGCGTCTAGAGCAGTTTGAGTACTGGTAGGTCTCATGACCTCGATGGAGGGTCCAACCATGTCAGTGGCATCGGCGAACCCCCGGTCAGTAATTTGACAGTGGCACAACGCCATGATGTTTTCGTCCAATTCAACCCTCGAGCCCTCATCTACCGGAGCTGAGGAAGGGAATTGCTTCCTCAATCGACACCGTTTGTGGCCAGGCACGGCCGACGGCGACGGCCGGGGTGATGGAGTGTGGCCGGGGTTACGGCCAGAGGCCGATTGATCGGCTTGGCGAGAATTGGACGATGGGGTAGCCGAATCGGAATCTGAAACAATCATGGCGGAGAGAGAAGGAACTGACCTGGACAGGAAGAAGAACGGGTCGGGTGAGTGTTAGAATAAGTGACCAACGCTAGAGGGGGGTGAATAGCGTTTGATCGTAGAAATCGCAGGAATAAAAAATTAAGAACGTGAAAAGTAAAGAGCGTAGAAAGCGTAAAGGGAGCACACCAAGATTTATACTGGTTCACCACAACGTGTGGCTAATCCAGTCTCCCGAGAGACTCTCTCGAGCTACACTACTTCCGTTA